CGGATCGGCTACTTTCGAGTTTTCGAGCCCTAGGCCCGTGAGCTGTGGGACATTATAATTCCGGCTTCGTGTGTGCTTCGCTAACAATTAAAAATTTGTCCGCCTATTACTTATCATTTCGTGTATTTTTTTGTCGTTTAAATTCAATTCACATTATTAGGGTATAATAATTAATTAATTAATTAATTAATTAATTATAATAGTGTCATTATAATTCGTAATAATATACAACATTTGTCAATAGATCATTTATACTAAAACCCACTGCATGCTCGTGTCGAAATTATTCGCATTTTCTCCCACATTTTCCCACACATGCACTCATATACGTGCGTGCATGCATCGACATACATACACATGCGCTCTCTTCCTTTCTCTCTCTCTCTCTCTCTCTCTCTCTCTCTCTCTCTCTCTTTTTACACGCTCAAGTGTATTTCACAAAGTACACCTTCCTCTTACTTTTCGCACACTCTCACGCCGTGGGACTGTACTGGCTTCACGCGTGGCTTATCTAACTAATTCATGATTTAAGTGTGATTTCGGGGTATACGTGTACGTGAAAATGTGTACATGTGTAAATGCACGTATAAATGCGCGCACATCGGCACGCGCACACCTCCCCTCTTTTCTTTCAAGATTTACAATTACAAGCGACTCGTCTTTCGTTCTCGGTACATTCTACATGTAAGTTGTACGCATGTGTGTAGCCTACTTTGTTGCAATAAGATAAAAAAGAGAAAAGATACAAAATCAATGTGCGGCAATATACCTTTGCGTTAAAAAAAACCGAGGATATAATGAGAAAGCAATAGCGTTTCCCTCTCGAAAAGAGGGAGAGAGAAAGATTATACGAATGATACTCTTGTGTCGCGTATGTGTATGTGTGTGTGTGTGTTTGTGTGGGTGGGTGCGTAATGTGTACTATATGAGACAATGATCTTTGTACATATTTTAAAATGTATTCCCGCGCGATATCAACATGACGAAGATGCGGAACATGCTCTTGTCTTGGGAAGACGCAAAGTTGATAGACGTGACGAAACGCCGATGTTTATTTATGTATATATGCCGTCGTAGCCGTCTTTCTCTCCCTGCTGTTCCTTCGATGAAATCTAATGAACGTCGGACAAACTTTAATCCGTTCGCTCATAGATTCCCGACAATAGTTTAATTCAAAGATCCCGCAGCCACAAAACCCCTTGTTTGTTTTCCCTTCTTTGGAAATTATCAAACAAACAGTAACAGAACAAAATGTAATTTGGCTTAAGCTTCGTGGAACAGAAGAAACTGAAATCTGGAAAACTGAAGGCTTTCCTCTCGGCCACGACGACGCGATTCCGTTACAAATCAATTACAATAATGTGGAAACGCGCGCGACGCGGCGCGTACGATAATCCGCGAGTGCGAATTTCGCGATCTACATCGACATAAAGTATTTGCGAGAGCGATTTGTGAAACGCAAATTACTTATGTGCTCGCGTCCATGTATTTATGTATATTGTGTGTTATGTCATATGCGAAGAGCTTGCATTCCGAAATCGAAGCAGAGCTCGTACCTACGTCGTGCTCAAACGATGATACTAGTCACGCGGGAAAACATTGACAAATCGCAATTCGCGCATGTGATGTGTATAGTAATTATAACTAAACGATGTTCCCTTTTCTTACATTTCGACGCATGAAAAAGTTACGAAGTTACGCATGCGATTAATGATAATGGAATTACAGCTCCAATATACATGAAATAGTAAGATAAAAATAGAAAAAGAAATTCAATGGAATTCATTCAAAATAAACTATTTATCGTATGCGTTTTGTTAAAGAAACTCATTATGACTGTTTTCCAGCTAGGATACAGAATTATACTGTGTTCCATTGTGTAAGATACTTGTTGGAACGCAATTTAATTCATACAACACTAGAATGCATTGTAGTCTTTCATTCTTATTCTTATGATTATATTTAGCGTGTTAATAATAGATTTATAATTTTAATTTAGGCTTAAGTTATCGATTTTTCGAAAATTGACAGTTTTTGGTGATTTTATTTCAAAATAAATGACTACCAAATAACTATTTGAAAAATTGATAACATTGACATATTTTACATGCTCGTATTTAGTTTTTTAGTGTCGAGCAGTGTTACTGCATTATATGTGTACGTTGTTGGAAAACACCCTATTATGTATACAAATTATAAAACTAATCATCATTTGAATAGAATATCTAAACGGCTATTTTAATGTGATATATTAATTTCTTTACTGTTATTAATATCATTATTATTATTAACCAAATATACAATAAGGAATTTTCGATTTTATATAACGGATTGATTTATTTGTAATCTTGAAAGTTTCGGGGTATTGTTCGTATATTATAAGCACCATAAGACTGCAAAATTTCACTTATATTATAGAAAAAAACCTCGTTTGTATTTTATAAATAATGGAAGAATTACATAATTGAAACAAAAAAATAGTATGTCTGTAAATGGACGCATAGTAAAATAATTTCGTGGTATTATTCAGATTATATATCTATTTACTAATTTAATTATTTCTATTTACTTATATCATCGCATGTATAACTTCGAATTTTATCAAAGCAAATACTCTTTGCAGAATATTAGAAATATCATAATATATCAAAACACCAGATCTGCGTATTACATTTTAAAACTTAGATTTCTTTTCAATTCAAATTGGATGGAACGAATTATATTATCTACAATGATGAGTCACAACGACAATTAAAATGTCATTCGAAGACGTCAAAGAGCATATTAATTATAATAATATATGATAATCAAATAATATATTAAGTCAAATAATATATGATAATCAATAATTTGATTAAAATTGTCTTTAAAAATTTTATAAAAATTATCAGAATGCTAAAAAAAGGGAACATAACGAATCACAAAGAGCAATATAAAAATAGGAACATATATGACGTATATAAACAAAATGAGGAACATATACATGATGTTTAAACGTAACACGCAAGGAACTTGATTCAGATTTACGTACATATATATATATATATATATATATATATATATATATTACGTGTTCGCGTGTGTGCATTTATGTGCTTTCATCTGACAATACATTGTATGAAATATCGAATCACCACGCGCATAACTTATGTATCGAATAAAATGATAAAATCCTAATGTTTTCGTTGAAAAGAATCTTTCTTAGAAGATCAAAACACAATTAGATTAGTGAACGTAAAGTATTCACCTAGATATATAATGTTAGAACTCACATATATAATTCGTGAGACGTGGGTACGTGCTGTGCTACGTGTCGTACCGTAATGTATTCTAAACATAAAACACGAGGCTTGTTTACACGAATGTTAAAAATGCTTTGACAATTTTTTTCCTGCACCGTGGGAATTGATTCCGTGTCTTGTCTCGGTTTTGAGAAAGCTTTTACACTTATGTTATATATACCAACCATGTTTAACCTTTGGAACGAAGTCTTTCTTACATATTTAGTGTGCAAAATATTCTTACGCTTTTCGTGGTTCGTCAAATAATTATTATATATAGTAGTAATAAAGGATAAAATTCTACGAGTCCTCGGAACAATCAACGAGGCTATGCATTGACATTCGGTCGGTCCCCGCGCTTAAAAATCTTTGAGTCGAAGGTGACTCTATCGCTTTTTCTTCTTCACTCTTTTTCTGTTTCCAGTTTTACTCACTCACATCCTCTCACATTTATTTTCGTTTTCTCTCTCTCTCTCTCTCTCTCTCTCTCTCTCTTTCATATACCCCGAACTACTATCACACCACTCATTCTATCTAACTTGCACACTAACGTTTGCACAAATACGTACTTACGATATAGTTCTTACAATATTTTATATATATTCATTTACTCTATTAATTATATCAATACTGTTGACGGATAGAGATTCATTCACAGATCGCACCAGAGCGGACAATCGTCTCTGACGCGCGTGGCATTAACATTCCTTTTTCTTACTTCTTCATCCGCAAATGATTCTTTACTTCCTTCGGTCACATCGTTCTACTTTTCATATTTAACATAATTTTTGACATAAAGTTTTTTTATCACACGCTAAAAACACTTGATCTCCTTCATTTTGGAGATAGCCGTCCGTCCGCACAGTGCCTCGAAGCGATAGAGCGATCCACGCGAATAAACGGGTGCAACTGCCGTTCTTCTTCTTCTCCTTTCTTCTGCCGCTTCCGTCATTCAGTTCCTCCGCAATCTTCCCATATATCGTCGTGGTGAATTCGGAGACACCGCGCTACCTCCCCTCCGTTCGAGAATTAGAAAAACCATACAAACTCGAACAGATGCCGCCGCGGCATATTATCCGTCCTCGTCTTCATTCTCAACAGCATCGCAGCATTAATAGCGTCAGCGGGTTATACAATGATTTGGCGCGAAATTTACCTATCGGCGAATCAGAACACTTTTGCACCGGCACAAACACGTTTCCCGCTCGCATCGAGTCCCAAACGTTGTTATCTGGTCCGATCATCTCATTCTCCCGCACGAAATAATCCCTATTATGGTTATGATTAAGTGTAATCATTTATGACCGCGCTGCGCGAGGAAATACTCTATCTGTTGTAGACAGAGTAATTGCTGCACCAAGCTCTGTAGCGGGTCCTGGCCCGGCTGAAGTTGGCCCGGCTGCTGCCCTTGAAGTCCCTGCGGCTGCATCAAGCCTCCACCAGTAGGCTGAGCAGACGTAGGCGGCAGCATCGTGGTGCCCGGACCTGACTGCTCGGCCAACAACTGCCGTTGCAGTTGTTGCGCCTGGTAATGAGCCACCGCCATCAGTTCCGAGGACTCCATACCCATCGAGGCGGCGGCAGCGGCGGCGGCGGCGGCGGCG